TAGATGTAGCACTTATTTCTGAAACGAGATTTACTCATAGAACTCACATTAGAATAAAAGATTATGTTGTTCATTCTACAAATCACCCCTCTGGCAACTCCCACGGTGGAACAGCAGTTATAATAAAAAAAAACATTAAACACCACCCGCTGGAAGAATACAGTACTGAAAAAATACAGGCTACATCTATCAGAATACAAGACAAAAACACTGAAACAACTCTATCTGCTATATACTGTCCTCCAAGACACAATATTAATGCTGATGACTTCAAGGATTACTTCTTAAGTTTGGGGAGTAGATTTGTCTGTGGCGGCGATTGGAACGCTAAACACACCTACTGGGGCTCAAGGTTGACTCTACCACGAGGCAGGCAGCTATTCCAGACGACTATAGAACTTTCTTTATATTGCTTGTCTCAAGGTGAGCCAACCTACTGGCCGACTGATCGAAAGAAAACGCCGGATTTACTTGACTTCTTTATCACCAAGAATGTGCCCCAAACACAGCTGAGCGTCAAATCTTGTACTGATCTATCCTCCGATCACACTCCAGTGATTCTTAATATAAACTCTACTATCTTGTTAAATGAATATCCACCTAAACCATATAACAAGAATACCAATTGGGAAACCTACCAAGAGTACATCAACAATAATCTGAATTTAAACATCTCTTTGAAATCCACTGGAGATGTTGAGAATGCTGTAGAAAATCTAAATCAACTTATTCACGAGGCACTAGGCAGATCTACGCCGCTAAGAAAATTCCCATCTGTGGTTTTGCACCATTACCCCAAACATATCAAGGATATGGTGTCTAGGAGGCGGAATCTGCGCAGAATATGGCATAACACTGGCTATCCTGCTGATAAGAGAGCTTTTAATAAAGCTTCTGAGGAATTAAAACACCTAACTAAGGCAATGAAAGAAGACGAGCTACAATCGTTCTTAAGAAATTTAAAGCCTAGTCCAGACACCAACTATTCTCTATGGAAGGCTACTAGGAAAATGAAAAGACCGAAAATGCATGTACCACCTATTAGAGCACCTACTGGAAGCTGGGCCAGATCTGATTCTGAGAAGGCCTCAACTTTCGCAGAGCACCTCAAACTAGTGTTTAAGCCTTTCCCGGGATTAAACTTAACGCACAACGAGGAAGTTTTGAACTCTCTGAATTCTCCACTGCAGATGTGCCTACCGCTAATGTACACAAGTCCGACGGAAGTAGCTAATGAAATTAAGAACCTGAAAGAAGGCAAATCGCCAGGTTATGATGAAATCGATGCAACTATGCTTAAACATCTTCCTAAAAAAGGCATAACACTCATGACTATCATCTTTAATGCATGCATTAGACTGGAGTGCTTTCCTAGTCAATGGAAAATAGCCCAAGTGGTGATGGTGCCAAAGCCTGGAAAACCACCTCACGATGCAGGTTCTTATAGGCCAATAAGCCTCCTTCCAGTCATTGGTAAAATTTTGGAAAAGGTCATTCTTAACAGGATGAAGAAACATCTGCCGAGTGTCCTTCCCGCACATCAATTTGGCTTTCGTGAAAAGCACGGAACAATTGAACAGATTCATCGCCTTGTGGATGTCATAAGTGGAACACTTGAAAATAAACAGTACTGCTCAGCTGCCTTTCTCGATATCGGGCAGGCATTTGATAAGGTGTGGCACGATGGACTGTTATTCAAATTGAAAAAAATGTTACCACACAGCTATTACGCTATTATTAAGTCATATCTTAGTGGACGATGCTTTGAGATTAAACATAACCGAGAATCATCACAGATGCATGAGATTACTTCTGGTGTGCCACAAGGCAGCATACTCGGCCCTGTCCTGTACCTCATCTATACAGCAGATTTACCCACTAACAGAAACACTATCATTGCAACATACGCAGATGATACAGCTATAATGTCTGTTCATGACGACCCTACAACAGCTTCTGAAAACTTACAATCACATCTAGATGACCTTCAGAAATGGTTTAATATGTGGCGCGTTAAAGTAAACCAAAGCAAATCATCCCACGTTACATTCAGCCTCAGGAAACAAACCTGTCCACCTGTAAGCTTATATAACGAAAACATACCGCAAGCGGAAGATGCAAAATATCTTGGCATACATCTGGATCGAAGACTGACATGGCAAAAGCACATCTGGTCTAAGCGAAAACAATTAGACATAAGGCTAAGAAATATGTACTGGTTGACTGGAGGGAAATCCCAGCTTTCGCCAACAAGTAAAATTTTAATTTACAAAACCATCTTAAAGCCAATATGGACATATGGCATACAGCTTTGGGGAACTGCCAGCAATAGCAACGTCGAGATCCTGGAAAGGTTTCAAAATAAAACTTTCAGAACAATGCTAAGAATACCGCATTACATAAGCAACAAGATCATACAAATGGACCTAAATATTCCCACAGTGAAAGAGGAAATAGTAGCTTACAGCAAAAAATATCAAGCCAGGTTATCGACACACGTCAATAAATTGGCGTCGGACCTAGGAGGCACAGGAGCTGTGCAGTTTACTAGATTAAGGAGGCACAGTATACCTACCTTACACAACAGAAATTAAATCTAACAATAAAAGATGAAGGTGTCACTGGACATCTGATTCTGTTTATAAATCTATTAAGAATAAATTCAGCCAGAGGAATAGCTCATTGTTAACTGAAAAACAGATCGCTACGAGACATTGAAACATAAGAGAAAAAAAAAAAAAAAAACACAAATATATTTATCTCGAGGAAGCCACAATTATTAGCACCATCGTCAGACATCGTAGGGGCGAATAGGGTGATGGAGCTACGAGAAATATTGAGTAGCTACACCAATCACGTTTGTTGTCTTAGAACAATTTAAAAATATTCTCTTGAAGAAATATTCGAAAACGAACGGCATTTCTTAGGGCGGAGGCACCACTCTTCAAGAAGGCTGATTGGTAAGTGTGATAGTGTCTTCGCGCCTCCATCGGCTAAGCTCTGTCGTAGGCATAGATTATACACTTAATATATTTGAGAGTCGTAGGACGAGGCTAGAGTTCCGACGATACCGCAATCGTGCTGCCATCTCTCGGGAATCATGCTGCGTTTCGTTTAGCTACCAAACTAATAACAGTTTCCGACAGAGTTAAACTTTTAAACAAAAGCATATTAGAAAATATAAATATATATTATATATTATATTTTTGTAGTTTTATAGTTATTTCTTTTTCATTAAAGAGGTGTAGTAAGAATTTCCTTCATTAGCTACCTACTAATGTACTGATTATTTTAAAAAAGAAGTTCGTTAAAGCGCCATTTCAATTCAGATTATCCAAATAACCAAAATCCAAGATGAACGTTTTTTAATTCGATCATACTATTTCTTGCTTCGTAATCGACCTATTTTATGTTTACCAAACTATTCAGGTGTAAATTTGTCAATGCTATTGCAAATACGCAAATCAATTTAATCATACAACGAAATCATACAGAAACAAAGGTAATAGCAGCTTTCAATGTTGCCCGGGCTTCAGCTAATTCCGAGAACTACAACTCTATCGATTGGAACACGAAACCTTGCGAGTGCCGCGCCCTAGGTCCATTGCGCAGACTCACTAACGTCGGCTTTGTTTAAAATAACTTCACTAAAATATAAATTTGTTTCTTTATGAAAGTTTGAAGATTGTAGGTATACATTAAAAAGACGATTTGATTTTTTTTGCTTTGTTCGTTCATAACTGCCTGCACCTACTTATCTCCATAAAACTTGACTACTCTACTCATAAAGACGATACTCTATAACCATTTCTTACATTTATGATATACCAATAATAATATAATATAATCAAATATTTGATCACCACGTTGATACAGTGATGTTTTTGACTGCATTATTATACAAGGGCCGGGCTAAGATTCAAAGTCGGGTCAAAATCTTTGTTAAAGAAATTAGCAATCCGAGATCATTTTCGATTTTCAAGACCTTAATACAGAAATTACCTATATTTGTTGCGGAGAGAAATTCTAAGTTTTGGAATCAAAGGTAAAATCAAAATAAATCTCCTCCCATAAAAGATTGAAATAGCTAGTTACCTTGGTGTCAAATCGAATGAAACTTATTATAATTTGGCAGTAAATTGCCAATGACCGCTTATTTCATCAAATTCATTTAAGTGATAAACATCATAAAAGAAAATTATCTATCTAAAAAATAATATAGAATGATAAACAAAATTAAGATCAATAATTATAAATTATCCAAAATAAATTTAGTTACCTCAGTTTAACGAAATAAATGAAGCTACTGCGTGGAACAAAACAAAACACAAAGAGTACATCTATTCTACCCCTTTTTTATTAAGAAAGTGTTACTGGTGGCCCGGAGGCCTTTCCAGTTTCACAAGCACGGGTAGGCGGGCAAAGGCTCAGCCAGAAGGGATGAGATTTGTTAAAGGTTCTACACACTAGGGTAGAGTATAATCCTTATCCCAGAGGTAATTTGAAGACCTCTAAGTATCTGACATCATCTAACAACATCATAGACAATTTTATGTTTGGTGATTTTAGTTAGACAAAGGAAAATATATTCATACTACATAAAATACAATATGACCGAAGCTAAGACTTATGACCCAAAATTTCTATTTGTTAAAATTAACACAACCTTTTAACAAACTTACTGTAAGTAAATAGTTTCTTTTATTATTTTCAATGCCGTAATTTCATATAGGTTAGAACTACGGATTTGTTGAATTTTGTACGAATTGACATTTGACATGTTGTGACCTAAGTAGTAGGAAGGTCTATGGTAGGAATTTATGAATCTGTACTCTGCGACACTGTCACAAATATATGTCAGAAAATCCGATACCATCAACTGTCAAATGAAACTTAAACATAACCTTCAAATCGATGGATAATGGACTAATTTCCGAAAAAAAATCCTGTTTACAATTTATTTTGCGAAAGCTCAAACGGAATAATTAGAAAACTACAAAATGTTATCAGTGAAAAGATTCCCGGCACTTTCAGCGTCAAAATTTCAAAATAAACTACATTTTAATCTGAGTAATTATGTCTTAGGAAAGCAAGTAAACAAACATTGTGAAAGTAAGATGTTGAAATTATGTAGATCGTTCTCTGTTTTACACAATTTGACCGCCAAATCTAAGAATCCGGTGAGTTGAACTTTATTTAAAAATAGTGAATATAGTAAAACATTACGCAATAATTACCTCACTTGTATTTTGTGCACAAAAAATGATTATGAACTAATGAGACTTAAGAAAGTAAAAATATTACAACTACTGTATGAGTGGAGTAGTAGCTCTGCTAAATGACCAGAGTAACTTGTCATCTAACATCTTATATGCATATCTGCTTAGAATAGTCCGGGTATGCTATTACATGCATGTGATACAATAGTGCTATTGCATGAATATAGGCAGTGTGACTATTGTAAAGAAATAAAAAAACATATGAATTCCTCACTAAACAGTAACTTACAGCCTTCAGAACAATTAGGACCTGACAATAATCCTCTTTAGATTTTTTTTATATAGCAACTCAAATTGATAACAAAATTTGAGGCTTCTCATCACTTCATTACTGTAAAGACTAATGCTGACTATGTGTGTTCAACATTTATCAAAAGACTGGCTTCTGGATAGAAACCTAGTCTATGAACAATAAACTTCTAATTTAAAAAGTTATTCTGAACCCCAATTGAACATAATATGATACAGATTGGGCTGGCATCTCATAATCTGCAAATTATACAGACTATGACATAATATGCAAAATACCCAGAAAATGAAATACAAGTCTCTCATCTACGTAAAATCAGAGTTTCATTAGACATGCTGCAAGACTAAAACAACAACATAGTCAGATATTAATCTAATGATTACACCAAGTCTGAAGTCATATTGGCTTAAACAATACGATGTCTGGTGTACTTGAATTGAGAGATGAGACTATACTACTGTTCAAATCTTAAGCAGGTTCCAATATTTCCAATGAAATATTTACTTTAATCACATACATGACCGCATAATGATCTATACTAGAAATTTAATAAGCAATAATGAAAAGCTGTACTGGTAGTAGCACGTCTTGTAAGCACGCTAGGGTTAGTACCACCACTCTGCTTATTTCTGCAGAGAAGACGTAATGCGTTTTGGTTTGTAGGATGGGCCAGCCATTTTAATGAAAACAAAGACTTAAAACTCATGCCTCTAGGTGGGTGGCGCCACTAACGTTCATAATGTCTATGGGCTTCAGTGACTACTTCATACGGAACAAGGCATGAGATCATCCACATAATTACCCAACAAAAAAAAAAATTACTTCAGTGCTATAAGTGGATATATATGTTATCTCAATTCTTTGTTTATCAACAGCAACTCAGAACCTTCAATGCAGAATATAAAGCTGCTTGTGCATTACTTAAGAGGTCACAACTTCCAAGCTTGGACTCTTTCATCCACAGCATAAGCACAAGGGGCATCCACACTACACAAACCAACCATAACCAACAAGATGATAAAGATAAGGTCTGTAGTAATAATTCAATAAATATAAATAACCAGATTCAAAACTGATTAAAAAATTTATTAAAGTAGGATAATATTGAATCAACAGTTTTTAATTATTAAGTTGGTGCATTTTTTTACTTTCTATTTATATTTAGATATCTGTCTTTTAAGAGATTTAAAAATGTATATTTTTCGACATGTTCTTAGTGTATATGGTCAGCTTTAAGATTTTTTATGTTAAGTGGTTAATCAAGCCTCTTGATATGACAATGTCATAGGTAAAGCATTGGAATGTTGATTAATTTGGTATAAGACAAATTGACCACTTTTATATCATGTAACTACATTAAGGCAGGAGTAGGAAATTTGCTTGTACTTCATTTTAATTTAATAGTGGAGTTGAAATGTTTGATTGACTTGTTTCATTATAAAGCCTTACGATTTCATAATAATTGTATTTGTACATTTTGAAATTCGAGCTTACTGCTAATGTTAGAACCATCTCATAAAGCATTTCGAACATATGTTTCGTGATTAAAGAAGATAAAGATATATCAGTAGTGTACAAGTTTGAAAATATAAAACTCATCATCATATTATGCTGGACATTTTTCAGCATAAAAAAGACAAGAAGAATAATGAACTCTCTTCTCTATTCATGAAAGCAGTTTTTTGGATGCTCACAACTTGTATTTTAATTATCATGAGTACTCTGCTTGTACCGAGTGACACTCCACAGAATGAGGTGAGTGTTTCAGTGTTAATTTTTTTTTTTCGGTAAGTCAACTGGCTTAAAGTAGTCTTGTATATTATAAGACTAGCTTGATATAATCAAGACTAGCTCATATTTTAAATTGATAAAGATCCAGTAGATAGCGTAATAATTATCAAGAAGAGAACATTTTGAATTTCAGTTTTGTGTACACCCAAACCCGCTAATAACAAAGTGTTATATTTCAGGTAATACGATATGTGTCCTGGAATGAATTTGTTTACTCGATGCTGGCGAAAGGTGAAGTTCAAGAGTTGATAGTACGACCCGATATGGAAGTTGTCACAATTATACTTTATGAGGGCGCCATCATCAAAGGAAGGCGGGTAAGAGTTTGGTTGGATATACGCATGTTATTTTAGAACGAGAATATCAAATAAAGATAAATAAGATGATTTGCAAAATAAAAATTAGACATTTAAAATATTTTATCAAAATTATGACCATAATTATAATTCATCTGCGTGATACTTTAACAGACAAACATTTAACATTAAAAGCAATATTGGCCTATTTCTTGATATTTAAAACATGTCTTAAGGCAGTTTTACGTGTGACTTGCGACTTCATTTGGGATCATAATGTATGTACACTTCAACCAAATCAAGCCGCATATATCAGTGTAACGATTAGCCAAAGGTGACATCGCACCTTTAAAATTGAAGTGGCATAATCCAAAATTCTTGTGTTTTGGTAAACTTCAAAAGTATAATTGAAGAATTGTAATTTTCCAGTGTTCATTTTAATACTTTAAGCATTATTTAAAACGCGTACCTTAAAGTTTATTTTATGCGCTTGATTGAAACATTTAAATTTCATTTTTAATTTTTTTTTAAATAATAATTTTATAAACTGATAGAATACATTTTCATAAGACGTTCAAAGAAAGCATAAAACTCATTTTCTTAAAAAAAGAAGTTAAGCCACTTCAATTCTAAATGCGACATGAGCACTGTGATTGGTGTTGAGTTTGTACTAGAAGAATATACTTAATTAAAGAAGTCATTTCTTTACTTTCAAATATTGTTTATTTATTTCTAGCATAGATTCGGTGGTTACTAGAACCTATAGACGTTACAAAGTGAATAATTCCATCACCAATATTGAGACACGTGATCATAGCTCATAGCATAGCACGTGAGCATAGTATTGGATTGTAATCCCACCCTCTAAATCGAAACGCATAATTGATTCGCGACCAAAGTGTAGCAAATGATGATGATGATTCATCCGACCGATTTCGACCATGGCGACCACTTTGACTCCTATCCGTCGATTTGGCGCTCGTGCGCTCGAAGATGGCTTATATAGCCTATCTTTGCGCCAAAACTCCTTGCGCATTGAGGGCACGTAAGCACGCCGTTCTCATAATTATAGGTTATGGCAGCAGGTGGGCGGGCCTTCAACTGGTCGCGTTTGTAATCAAGGTCAGCTTTACGCTGATCCTCGAACTCGCGTACTTTGCTGTTCACCATCCTGCGCCATTCTGGCCGCAGTGCTGCCAAGCGCTCCCATTGAGAGGGCTCTATATCACATCTCTTCATGACATCCTTGTACCGCAGGAGTTGTCCGCCATGCTTTCCCTTGAAATGATACTAATTAAAACTAATTAAGCAAATGATACTAATTAAAACTGAAAAAGCTAATTTTACTACAACATAATATAAAAAAAAAAAACATCCACAGGCAAACAACAGAGTCTTTCACATAAACGTTGGCGACATACACAGATTCGAAGAAAAGCTACGGGAAACCGAGAAGAACCTAGGAGTCAAAGAAGGTAAAATATGTCGTGGGGTGAAATGACGGGCTCTGGCTTTTTTGGTTTATGCTACATTTTTGCAACTTTACAGGAGAAACATTTAAAGTTTAAAATTTGGAAAAAAAAGATGTTTGGTGTCGTGGGACACCGGATAGGAATAACGTTCCTTATTATAAAAATATTAAATTTAAGTTCTATTCGAGGTATAAAGAAAATAATTATTCGGGAAATTAATTATTATTATGATTTTTTTATTGATAAAAAAAGATATTCCAAAACAAATATATGAGTCGACTATTATCAAAGCCGGCAATCTGACTTTTGGACAATGATTGGTAAATAAAAAAAACGAATTATTGACTTTGTATTCCATTTGCAGTCACAAAATCTTCGGAACGACATCTTAGATAAATAACAGGTTAACTATTAACCTTTATTTAATGCAGGTTTTGAACCGTATTCTTTGAAGGAGACGATTATATTCAAATCAATCTGTATTGACATATCAATAAATTTTTTTTGTCCAAATGCACAGATTGCCACCTTTGATAATAGACGACTCATATATACACTAAAAAGAATGATCATCGAAATCGGTTGGCGTGATATTGAGTTATTGAGTTATTTATCTATTTGTCGCGCACGTACTGAATCCTACGAATAAATAATAAGTCTATTTATTCGTAGACTGAATGCAACTTTGAGGCTTATATAGTTTTCTTACGTTACGGACAATTTATCCCGGTTAGGGTACCCACCCCTCCGCATCGTCCCATAAGATCTTGAACAAAAAACTTCTTCGGCTATTTGAATAGGGTAAACACAATTGAAGTTCAATTAAAAACGGACCTTTATTACAAAGATAAAGGTCGCTTAAACCTTTCACACCTCGATATAACAAATTATTTCTTGAAAATAGTTAATGGCGGTTCCTTTCAGATTAGATCTTGCTCCTAAGACACTCAAGGTTTTTTGTTAAAAGCTTACTGGGCTTTAAGCTTGAAGTTGTGCTTTTTAGTTATCAGGATTCATCTTAGAAAAAACCACCGATATTACTGTATGTGTATACTTTGTTTTAGGTGTTCGTGTTATATACGACAGAAACGGGAGTGTAGCCGGTAAAGTTATAACTACCCTACTCATTGGCGCTGTCATTTTGTCCTTCTTATACTCGACTAAGAGTATGAAAATGAATATAAATCTCGGTGGATTCGTAAGTAATTATTTGAATGCTCCAATGATGAAATTAGGATAGGTTCGAATTTGAAAAATAAATAAATAATAGTTTAAAAAACTAACAAAAACCGCTTTTATAGAAAATTAATTTTTAATTTAAAGTTATTAAAATTTATTTTCAATTTTTTTGTTGGATTTTCTACAAAAGCGTATTTTGTTAGTTTTTTTAAGCTATTAGGTATTTATTTTTCATTTTTGAGTTGAATTCCAATTATTTATATTATTTTTTTCAATTTTTTTTAAATATTGAATTGTCATCGATCCTTAATAAGTATACTAAATTTCGAATTAATCCGACGTCTGAAGTTAATAAAAGCGTATTAAAAAAATAACCTTTTTTTAAACCCCGCAGAGCCAACTGGGCAGAGCTAAGTTCACTCTAGTGGATTCTATGACCGGTCAAGGCAAAGGTGTGAAATTTGAAGACGTCGCCGGTCTTAGGGAAGCCAAAATTGAAGTTATGGAATTCGTGGACTATCTAAAGAGGCCGGAGCATTACAAGAATTTGGGTGCAAAGGTAAGATATTCGAAGAAACAAATTGTTTAACAGGTATAATAAAATAAAGAAAGAAAAACCCGTTATTTACTCCATAAACATTAAATAAACTAAAGCAAATCATCGGTAGTAATTAAGTAACCCTTAGAGATAAGAGGAACACGAGACAATCTAGTGATTACTGTGAAAAATGGGTATCTTACCCAAAAGATATTCTCGAATTACTTCCCTGCCATAGTGACAAAAAAGAAGAAATTTATAGATTTGCATGCTGCTGGTGCTATACTATACGCATAGGTAGGTACAAACATGCTGCGTATATATGCAGCAAAGCACCCAGCCCTTAGAAATCATAGGGTAGGCCATAATTCAGAAGTTAATTAAGTGTTTTAATGACCTTTGTTTCACTTTTTTTTTGTAGGTACCAAAAGGTGCGCTTTTGCTTGGCCCGCCCGGCTGCGGGAAAACGTTGCTGGCTAAGGCGGTGGCCACAGAGGCCAACGTTCCGTTCCTGTCTATGAACGGTTCAGAGTTCATCGAGATGATCGGAGGCTTGGGGGCCGCTAGAGTCAGGTAGGCTAACGAAGCTAAGCTTTACTAGTGGCAGGACCTCTTGTGAGTCCGCACGGGTAGGTACCACCGCCCTGCCTATTTCCGCCGTGAAGCAGTAATGCGTTTCGGTTTGAAGGGTGGGGCAGCCGTTGTAACTATACTGAGACCTTAGAACTTATATCTCAATGTGGGTGAAAAAGTACTAGAGCTGACATAGTTTGCCTATTGTATCGTTTCGCTGTATCACGCTACAATCATGTTTAAATATAAAATTATACCTATACATGTATAAATAGGGAAGTACCGTTTTCTGGCTATGTTCGTTTTTTTTAATTGGTAACAGAAATGTAATACATACTATGTAGTATATATAATACAAAGTAGTAAACACAAATGAAACCAATCGTTTTCACGTTCCTTATCTTGCTGTTAATATCACTCCATCACAGAATTCGAACAAATGAATGTTTCATAGTAATTGCATTGACAAAACATATGATGTGTCCTTCACACACGTCGCCCGCCCAGCTAAAAATAAAAATAAAAAAGTGGTCAGATGTTACGTGTAATTTTAAATAACGTTCAACCCCAAAGTAATGAACATTTTCGAAATAACATATGACCTAAAGGTCTATGTTACCAGGTCACTAAATAAATAAAAAATTGAAATAAAAATAGTGTAAGAAAAAATGATTTTTAAAAAAACCGTAGGGTGCATGGTATCAGTAGCTATAAATATTTTATGAACAGATATGAGTAGAAGGGTTATTTTGATAATAACCTGAAAATCACTCCACGCTTTTTACAATAAAAGAATAAAATCATTTTTTCTTACAATATTTTTAATTCAACTTTATTAAATTTATTTTTCATTTTTTAATTGAATTTAACTTTTTTTTTTAATATTGAATTGTCATCAGTCCTTAGTAAGTATGCCAAATTTCGAGTTAATAAAACGTTTTGAAGGGGGTCAAAATCATGTTCAAAGGTTCCGTTATATACTAGACTAACATACATACGTCTGAAGCTAATAAAATCGTATTAAAAAAAAAACGTTCACAGAGATCTGTTCAAAGAGGCAAGCTCTCGTAAGCCCTGCATCATATACATAGACGAGATGGACGCGGTGGGCAGAGCCAGGGCTTCCGGTACGTCCTCCTGGGGTCCAGGCGGAGGGGAGTCGGAGCAGACCTTGAACCAGCTGCTTGTGGAAATGGACGGCATGAAGAGTAGGGAAGGAGTCGTTGTGTTGGCTTCGACTAACAGAGCTGATGTGCTCGATAAGGTGAAGTCATCTTTGAACATATCTAAGTATATATTAATACATGAAGCAAAAACTAAGTACTCCTTTTTACGAAACTACTTTTACTACTACTACTTTTTTATGTTGAGCCCCACCTGGTGTTAAGTGGCTACTGGACCCATAGACATTTAAAACGTAACTCATGACTTCTAAAGTCTCAGTTTTACAGTACAGCGGCTGCCCCGCCCTTCAAACCGAAACGCATTACTGCTACACGGCAGAAATAGGCAGGGCCACCGTACCTACCCGTGCGGACTCGCAACACGCCCTACCAACGCAAATTTTAATTTTTAGGCGCTACTAAATTACTAATGGCTTTAGGGGTATGTATAATAAACGTTATTATTACGTATGATTACATAAATCTCCTATGTTGGCCCTAGGTATTGACTCACATCAGATATAAGGTGGATATATCGCAGATACGGTGCGATAACGTCACTTATGCAAATTATGTAATTTTTCCGGAGAAACGTTGGAAAATTCAAAATCTTATTAATATATAGTTCTGCTAGACTAAAGAAATAAAAACGATAATATTTAAACTAAAACTTTAAATTTCATCAGTAAAAGCAAACATCTCACTGATAACTATTACCAATGTATTTTCTCATACTCAGTTCAGTTTTAACAAAAATTGCATAAGTGACTTTATAGCACTGTATGTGCGATAATTATGTAGAATTGGGATCTTGGCACATAAAACAAAACTTCCATTCTACCAAAATCTTCTGTTATAATAATAATTAAAAATTAATTAACACTTTTATTACATAAGCCTTGCTCATTTTTTAACCGACTTCGCCATCTTCCTATCTCTGTCATTCTCTTTTCCTTTTCTTATGGTTTTCTCTCACTCACACCTTAACGTTCGGTTCCACACACTTTCATACGTTTCGTTCTTACCAATCCTCCATACATAACAACTTATTATTTTTAGGCGCTCCTCAGACCTGGCAGATTCGATCGCCACATATTAATCGACCTGCCCACCCTCCAAGAGCGCGAGGAAATTTTCGAACGACATCTAAAAAGCATTGTACTAGAAGAGCTGCCAACGTATTACATAAAGAGGTGAGTGATATATGTTTAACGTTTTCAAACTGCTTACATACCAATAGTTGTAGTCTTTTTAAGGGATTTTATGACCTGGTAACTAAGACCTTTAAGTCATGTCTTATTTTAATTTATATTCTTATTTTTATGAAAAATGATAATATGGAGGGAAATGAGATGAATATGATTAACTTGAAACATTAATCAACTGGGGTGGAATTAAATGAAATGAGATGATACGGGATGAAATAAAATCTCAGTAAAATGGTGGTCATTTATTCCCGAGAAGTTACGTCCAGCGGCTTTGTTTCATTTTCCCCACATTCGTGCACTTTGACAGGTATTAAATAGTTAATAAACCAAAAAAAGTCATTGTAAAGTCTTCCACACTTAGAACAAATCAGAAAATGCATAGAGTAGACACGTTATAAAGTTTTTTTTTTTTTCATTTTCAGATTGGCCTATCTTACGCCCGGATTTAGTGGTGCAGATATAGCTAATGTGTGTAATGAGGCCGCCTTGCATGCCGCAAGATTCAAACAGAACATTGTGAAGGCAGCTAATTTAGAATACGCCGTTGAAAGAGTTGTCGGTGAGCTGAATTTTTTTTTTTTTTTTTTGTCTTAATAATTTAAATTAGACTTAAATCTTGAGTCTATCGGACGAACAGGTATGGTGATCTGATGAGTTAATAGTATTTACCTGTTATATCTACTATAAATGTGCCTAATGTCCATACGAAATTATGATGGGATCTTCTAACATTCAATCCTTACGTGAAATTACAACTAAATTGAATTAGATGAATATTATACGTGACATTTATCTTTGTAATTAAAGGTCCGTTTTATTTGGTATCAGCATCAACATTTAGATGTTTTTAATTGAACTTCAATTAAGTTTACTCCATTCAAATAGCCGAAGAATTTTATGTTATATGGAGTGGTCAAAGACTTTGTTTTAAACGACATTTCTTTATGTTTACAGTAGAGCCATTTAAAGTTATTTGGAGAAAATTTTATAACAAAAAAACTTTGTTAGCTATTTGAATGGGGTAAACATAATTGAAGTTCAATTAAAAACATCGAATTGTTGACGCTAATATCACATAAAAAGGACCTTTAATTACAAAGAGAACTGTCGGGTGCTAAAGTGCAATGTCGCTTAAACCAAAAATAACCATTCTCGACATCTTGTAAAAAAAAATTATATTTTAAATTGTTCTCCTGTAAAATTTCAAAAATGTCGCTTAAAACCTTTCGTAATAAAAAGCCTTACGCCTGTCAATATACTTAATAATTTTGTCTACGCGAGACTCTGTGGCTTTATTGCGCTTATAATAAAACCAATTGAATTCTTGCTATTTGCTTTAATTATAATTTACAATGCTTTGGTTCTGATTGCACGTCAATGAATGTAATTAATGTGAATTTTACTCGAAGATGATAAATCTCTTGTACAATAATGATATAAGGTTTCTTAAGAATATTGTTGAATGCTGTCAGCGCGCGGTGCCGGTAGTAGTAAATGTTCCGGTATGACGTTATGGCTAGTTTTTTTTATTAAATGTCCAAAATGTACTGTTAATGGGAGACTTCAATGCCAAGGTAAGGATAGCTAAAACAAAAGAAGAAAATAATGGATGAAACGAGCTAAAGACAAAGAAAATTGGATTAAGCTGGAGGAGGCCTATACCCAAATAGGAGTTCCTATCGAAGAAAAAGTTTGATGTAGGCAAATCAAATAAACAACAATAAAGAAAAAATAAAATCTAATATAAAAAATTATAATGTAAAAACTGAAAATAGATCAAAATGTAAAAAATCATATATATTTAAGAATATTTAAATATTTTTTTTTCTACCTAAGCTGAGCCTTGAGAGGCTATTTCAGCGTAACCGTGGCTAGTAGGTGAGCTCACGGGGCTCAAACCTGATGACGATGCTAACACGAACCCTAGCAAGAGCCGTGCTTCGCAGAATCTACCACCGGATCGGAAACGCGACCCACTGAGAAGATCCGGCGAGAAACTCAGTGGGCTGTGTCTGAGAGTTAATTTACTCGTCTTCGTACTTCGTCGCAAGCGACGGGTTCGACGAGAACGGTGACCGGTGCTTGAAGTACCTAAAAGCACCGTTAGTGGATCGGGAGGAGGAATATTTGCATCTAATACTTAGGTGTTGGAAAAAAAAGGCTTTATTATTATTATTATTATTATTATTATTAAATGCCCTTAAATATCTCTTTCAGGTGGTACCGAGAAACGTAGTCACGCCATGTCGCCGGCCGAGAAGAGGATAGTCGCCTACCACGAGTCCGGTCACGCACTCGTCGGCTGGCTGTTGGAACACACGGACGCTTTATTGAAAGTTACAATAGTGCCTAGAACGAACATGGCTCTAGGTTTCGCTCAGTACACCACGTCGGACCAGAAACTCTACACTAAAGAAGAGGTTATACATACTTTCACAGTTTTATCTCTCCTTTCTTTTATATTGGTTTAATTCGATCTTAACGATTGTAAATAAACGTTAACGTCAATTAATATGATTATATTTATTAGTTAAACGAGCCAACAAAATATTAGACCATTAAAAGGGTACTTAGAGCAATATCTGAAGCGCAATATTAGACGGTATTTAGCAATTTATTAGACGGTACTTAGCTATATATTAGACGGTACTTGTCGCAATATCTGAACGTACTTACCGCAATATTAGACGGGTGTTTAGCAATATATTACATGGTACTTAGCGATATATTAGACGGTACGTAGTGCAATATCCCTTATCATATTATACAATTATATTTTAATTTCGTAACGTAATCTTGAACCGGCAAAAACGTTTCTTAGCCGTTTTATTATAAAAGAAATATAAATAAACTAATAATTATATGTTAATTTTACTTTATTATTTGTTATTATTATTTGTTTTATTTGGTTATTTGTTTTCTGTCAACAGCTATTCGATCGTATGTGCATGGCGCTGGGCGGCCGCGCTTCTGAAGCCATAACCTTCAATTCAATAACAAGCGGTGCGCAGAACGATTTGGAGAAAGTCACGAAAATAGCCTACGCTCAGGTTGATAAAGCTGCTACTATTGCGACCGATCGGCTTTGAATGTGAAATGTGTCTTTTTTTTTGTTTGTCACCTTTATATTGAACTCTAGTGTATTCTAAAGTTTACTTAAATAACTTTATATGTATATTTTTTATTAATTAGTGTACATATGTAAGTTCCTTTGTAGCTTCTATTTCCGAGCTTAAAGATTTTTCTCTTCGACTCTTGGTTGCTGCATCCACTGTTTATACGTTCTAGTAAAACTCAACATCAGACGGTAAATTGTAGATGCAAGCAAATACAAAGAAAAAAGCTGATTGCGAAAATATATAAAAAAAAACATTATTTTAATTTTTTGACGGTACTCTACAAAAATCAATGGAAAGCGAATAATTGACTAAAAATTGGATTGCTCAATAAAATTAAAGGGTACTCTTGTCGCTGTGCTATGCTTCTAATTTAAATTTTATTTAAAGAATTATGTTTCATTTTGTTTGTGCTTTGTCTCATAAAGTCGACATATTTTTTTTTAATAATTTTCACTATACTAATCCGATTCACTCTGAAAATTAAAAAAAAGTTATCGATGTTATCTATTTTTTGTTGCTAATTTTCTGGTGTTAAGTGGTCACCTTAGCCCATAGACATATAACCCCCTTGGAATATGAGCTCCGAGTATTTTATGAGTACAACGACTACCCCACCCTTCAAACCGAAACGTATTACTGCTTCACGGCAGAAATAGGCGGGGTGGTGGTACTTATCCGTGGGAGCTCTCAAGACATCCTACCATCAGTAAACTATATCCTAGCCTTTAAAAATGTGACAAAACAATGAAATTTTTATAAATTATTCGTTTTTTATTTATTATTATTAAATAAAACATTAAAACTTAATAGTTTTAATATTGCTCATTAGGGATAAGAGGAAATCAATACATCATCAAAAAATCATTTATGGTACCAAATTAGTCTAATAAATACTGACCCGAGCGAAAACGGCTTTTAAAAAACTTGAACATAAAAAAACCTTTTTTTTTGCAGTCTGTACCTTTTAAATCTGTGTTGCTTCGATTGCCCCTAAAATAGTATAATTTCCCTTAGTTAACCTACCCTTGCTTGTAATATTGCTTGTCTGCTTATATTCTGTTGTTAGTATATTACCCTTATAAGTAAATAATAGTATAGTAAAGCTCTAAAAATAAAAATACATCAGTACGGTTGCACAGCGCAATATGCTAATGCTAATGCCACAAAATGCGAATTATTTATTTTTTAATCACGAGAAACACATTTCTGAAATATGAATGCCAATAAGCCTTAGTATATTTCACGAATGCTTACTTAAACATACCGTTTGCATGTTCAGCAATGGGTTTTTCACATAATGTAGTCCTAATATATATATATATATATATATATATATATATATTTATAAGAAGTATGTAGAAGATTAAAGAATTTAAATATTGTTAAAAAGATTGACATTATAAATTATTTGCGTCAATGTCATTGACATTGACACTGACATTGTCAATTTCAATAAACAAATTTAATAGTAAAGAGCTGACCTTGCCAGTGAGTGGGTGTTCAGGGGTCGGATTAAGGTTCTACCTCATGTCTCAAACTAGGCGGTGACGTTCACGTGTTAGTGTGTATATCAAAATCCAATAGGTAATAAATACTAATTGCTTTTTAGATGAGCTTGTGAGTTTTTTTGTGATAAGTGGTTTCTAGAACCCATATACATAATAATAACGTAAGTGTGAATTTCGAAACTCATTTTGATTTTATTTTAGTCATCTTTAATTGCGAAATGTGCTTCTAAGTCGCTAGCCCAATAAAAAAAAGGTTTAATTTGCGAATTCCAAAAAAGCTGTATGCCCGATGTACCCCTATATATTAAACAAACGTCACAAACATATATATGACGCATATGTTTTGTTTTGTGTCGTATCTATACTAATATATAAATCTACAGTGGTTTTTACGGATGTTCCGTTATAACTACTGAACCATGCATCCGATTGACTTGAAACTTGGTATCCATGTAGAACATACATGTACTTAATGGATAGGCTAATATTTATATGAGTGTTGGACTCCCTACACCAGTTGCGGGGGCGTTAATGATGAGAATCTTTGTGGGGGTTAGAAATAATAGTGTTAATTTTAAATGCCCAGCGAAGCGGACGGGTACAGCTAGTTTACTTATAAGAGAAAACTTTTCGTTCTGTTCAGGTGAGAGTCTATGGGATGTCGCCAACGGTTGGTCTCGTCTCCTTTCCCGATATCAACGAACGTGGCAAGAGTCCGTTCAGCAAGACCCTCAAGAACCTGATAGATCTGGAAGCCAGGAAGATAATAGCGAACGCTTATTACAGGACCGAAGATATATTGAGAACGAATCAAGATAAACTGAAGAAGGTATTTAGAGTTTTTTTCTTTTGTATTGTATATTAAAGTACATATTTAATAGTGTTTTTTTATTACCTTTTAATATTATTTTAAACACTGATGCTTATCATAAAAATTATTAAACATCAATGTTGAAGGGATAGTTTGAGGGTATAATGCGAATGAAATAAATTCTTTGGGGATAGAAAAACCGGTTCTATAAACACACAAACAAATGTGTAACAAACATTTTTTTATTGCGCAATAATCTGTGTTGGTCTTTCTATTCGTACAATCTTGACAGAGTGGTCGTGATCATGCATCAGTCGGATACGACCTACTCATGACTCTCGTGGGAAATTAGTACAGTGATTTCCCGTTGCCTTCTGCATCACCAAATTAGGGGTTGGTTTCTGGCGCCTCTTCCGTACAGGTTGCTCTGACGGGTGTGTATGAGTTATACCGCCATTGCTCGGTCGCCATTGCCCCGTTGGTTTTCTAGCAGGAAGCACCACGGCAACCTGTTGGTCGCCGCCGCCATTTGGCGCATGCAGGTGGGGTTGACAATAGGGCTGGTGTACGTAGCATTCCGATCTCCCCTTACTCCCCTGTGTTACCTGTCTGTGTTAGTAAGCTAGATCAAATCTACTATGTATAGTATGTGTTTTATATTAAGGAAACACACAAACCCTATACAATCTATTTCACAGCTCGCCGAAGAGCTTCTCAAGAAGGAAACATTAAACTTCAACGAAGTTCAAGGTATATTAGGTCCACCACCCTTCCCCGGGAAGAAGTTCATCGACCCCGTAGAATTCGAGAACAGCCTCAAGAATATGGAAAAGGCGGCATCCTCTGAAGAGGGCACGCCTGTCGGAGCGCCATCAGCGAAACCAGAGTCGCAGCCTGGGTTGTGAGATAACCCACATATGGCCTCATTCGTGTAGAATATAACAGTATAGCAGCGTTTTATTTTGATGTAATTAACATATCGACGCTTGAAAGGCAAACGTGACTAAGCGACAATAACTGCTTTATGCATAAATGATAGGCAATAACCATATTCGATGCGCAAAAAAATATATATTTCTAGGTTTATTAAAATCATTTCAATCCTATAGCTAGATTCGTTAAAATAGATTTTTTTCAGGTATTTCAACTTTAAATTAGTCTACTGTAAAGTTCACGCATTGTCGCTTAGTCACGTTTGCCTTTCAAGCGTCGATATCATTCGAGGTACCACCACCCCGCCATTTCTGCCGTGAAGCAGTAATGCGTTTCGGTTTAAAGGGCGGGGCAGCCGTAGTTAAAAGTGAGACCTTAGAACTCATGTCTCAAGGTGGGTGGCGGCATTTACACGGTAGTTGTCTATGGACTCCGGTAACCACTTAACATCAGGTGGGCCGTGAGCACGTCCACCCAACTAAGCAATAAATAAAAACATGCACTAAAGAGGTTGAATTAATAATGGTTTCACAAATGCTAAGTTACAGTCGGAGATTTTTCTAGTCCTTTTTTGACAGTTGACAAGTGGCCTTGTGAAGCCAATGTTGCCATTTTTATAAAAAAATATATTACTAAACCTACTTATACATACTACATATTCGGTTTTCTGAAAAATTATGTAGAGTGAAATGAGTTGAATTTGATTTATTTGAGACTCATAATCGTCAATTGGGAAGAAATTAAATTTAGTACATTATAATCAAAAAAAGAAAGATCATTTCGATTTAAAATGTGAAAATGCTATATATAACGCTTTTGATAAAAATCTGTTAAAAGAAAACTGCTTCAAATTATTACAAAACAAAAACTGTGACTTATAATTCACTACGACTAATAATACTATGGATTTCTTTTTATTTTTGAATGTGAATATGAAAAATTAAAATGCTGTTAAGATATATTAAAGAATAAGAGGGTCAATCAATAAATAATGTTATTAATGTTGCCTGTTCGTTTAATTAATTTTAATAAACAAACACGCAACCTGACATAAAATTTACATATAAAACTACATAGAATTACTTTAAAAGAGTCAGCTCTAGAGATAATCCTTGTAAATGGAACGCTCTATTTCTGCATAGCAAATTGAATCTACAAGATATGTCATATAAAAATGAGTTCATTGGTCGACATTAGTGACGTAACAGCTTGCGTCGAGGACTAAAACTTCACGCATTTATTGATTAAAAAAATCGACATCGCATTACACACATAGTGTTATTGATTATTTTTATTATTTACTAGCTGACCCGGCAGACTTCGCAGTGCCTCAATCGATAAATAAAAGACATAAACTTTTGTATAAAATAAACTTAAAACAAAAAAAAGGAATCCGTCCGACGGGGGACACATTAAAGGAACAACAAAATTGTTATTTTTATTTAATTCCGAACATTTTCATATTTATCTACCTTTTAAACCTTCTCTGGACTTCCACAAATAATTCAAGACCAAAGTTAGCCAAATTAGTCCAGCCGTTCTCTAGTTTTAGCGAGACTAACGAACAGCAATTCATTTATATATATTATATATTCATTTATATATGGTGTGATTGTTAGTAAATATTTATTTATTATTTATTATTATATAGATTATCATTATATTTCGTAACTTTATAAGAGAATTAGACGGTGGTCATCCTTATTACTTCGATCGACTGCGTCTCACTCTCCATTCGACTTTGTTCTGTTTTTTTGTCTTGTCCAGTAAAAATAAAGGACTACAAAATTATGTACAAATGCTATAAATCGTATTAAAACGTTATTCTTTTATTTTAATTAAATAATGTTTTTCATATTTAATTTATTTCATAATAATTAATTGATATTAACAAAATATGTGCTTAAATGTGATTTTGTCAACCGTACAATCCTTCGATCTTTTGACCATAAACGTTTTGCTTGCGAGTTGTTCCGTATTAAACTTCATTTGAAGTGTACAGAATTAATAAGATACAATTGAAATATGAATATCAATATCCTCAATACTAAAGTCTATACGGCTTAAACGCGAATTATATGCTAAAAGATGCCACACCCTAAAACGATTATTTTTAAGAAGAATAAACTAAACGAATTTGGTCCGAATTGATCTTCTGTTGTCAAAGTTGTAACTTTATAGGTAATAATGCGATAAACACAATGCATTTATGTTCTGGTCTCTAGAAGTGTATTAGAAGAAATTAATATAACCGATGTGTTACCAAGGCTCTTGTCGCCATAACAATAAAAGCAATAGAAAAGTGTGCAGCAATTGCTTCATTGTTACTTAAATGATGACTATGAAACACAAAAAGAATTAACAAGTTTTTAAAAGTCAGGATATAGTTTCCCTTCTTTGCCGAAATCGAATTATATGTATGACAAGAAATAAAAATGAAATGAGATTGCTTATAGAGAGAAAAGTCTATTAAATAAATGGATATTTTCTATCACCGTTAATTTTTGGTAGGTAGCAACTTGGCTGTACCCCTGACATAGCTTACGTCCTTGAGCCACGGTAACCACTTAACACCAGGTGGGCTGTGAGCTCGTTCACTCATCTAATCAATAAAAACGTATTAAAAAACTTCACAAGCGACTTCTGTTTTCAAAGAATTCAAAAAGAACATTTTGAAATACAACGTGTTTTTTATTTACCAGGTTTTTTAATATTTTCTTTTGTGCAAGGTTTAATTTAGTTAAAACTAAAAGAAATATGCTATAAAGTTCGCAAATTTTCTTCTAGCTTCGATCGGCTAATTCAAAATGATCCAACTTGGATTAAAGAATTGTAGGTTCTTGCTCTTAAGTAGTGACTAAATTAAACCTTAGGTATTTACGAAGAAAAAATGTACGACAAAAGCGGAGTCTTCGTATTCTGTGCTGTTCCTAAATTTGTTCTAGGATTACGATGTTTTGTAAACAGTCATATGACGCGGTACGAAAATGTACTTTGTTATCGCTAATTATTTTGTATTAAATGGCGTTTAATGTTGACATGCCATTGTCAGATGGTGACTTTAGAAATCAATGTAGTTAGATTTGTTTTGTAATTTGCGATACAATAAAACGAAAACTTGCAAAGCGAATGTTATGTTTACATGTTGTTCAATAAATGTTATTGTTTTATTCCAATACGACCTGAATAGGTTCTGTTTGGGGTTGCAAGATTTTAAACTTATTACGGTCACTGCTCGTATGTTTTTAAGTAAAAAATTATACGCTATCAAATAGTATAGGGGCGATGATAGCATAGCATTTTACTGGTGGAGGGACCACTTATGAGTCCGCGCGGGTAGGTACCACCGCTCTGCCTATTTCTGCCGTGAAGCAGTAATGCGTTTCGGTTTGAAGGGTGGAGCAGCCGTTGTAACTATACTGAGACCTTAGAACTTATATCTCAAGGTGGGTGGCGCATTTACGTTGTAGCTGTCTATGGATTCCAGTAACCACTTAACACCAGGGGGGCTGTGAGCTCGTCCACCTATCTAAGCAATAAAAAAAAATCGTCGCTGTCAAACCAAAATCTGCTATGTGCAAAAAAACTATTTTGTATTAACGAGTAAAAACATTTTCGTATAAAATTTTATATGAAGGTGAATTTTTAAGAACTATATCAAATGAAAGCTATAGATAAATATTAAATATATAGACACATAACAGTTTTTTTTTATACGGTAGATAGGGCTGTGAACTATACGAAAAGGTCAAAAAGTCAAAGCAGATTTTGGTTTGACAACGACGACAAAATATGTCGTTCTATGAAAAGGGCTTTATACAATAAGGTACTTTTTAAAATGTCTCGTATCTGTTTTAAAGTTCTTGGCGGACATGTAAACGGCCTGTCGAACGATAATTAGTAACCGTCGCTCGTGGGTATCACTAATGCTGGGAACACAGTACACACGAGGGCCCTCCTTAAAATTCGTTTGAAGAAGCACATATCATAGCGCTCGGGAAACGCCCTGAAGGGGAGGTCATTCCGAAGACGGATAATACGTGGAGGAAATGATCTCTGGAAATGCATCGTGGACGAACTCAGTAAAATCAAATCAAATCATATAAAAAAAGTTTTTATTCAACTTAAATGAAAGTACATACTTGTTGAACGTCAAAAAGAACTACCGCCAGTTCACCAAAAACTAGCCTCCGCCCTGAGAAGAACTTGCAAGAAACTCAGCGGGCATGTCTTTTTTTTTTAACATTCGTGTTTTTTTTTTTTAATATTTATTTTTACAAGGAGTATTATAACGTAACAATTATTGCAATATTGAAATGCCCGGAGCGAGCAACTCATTCCCACTCGTTCTTCTTTCTTCTCCATCGCTCCCTCATTGCTGAGGATCGTGACTCCGTTTTAGCTTGTCGACTGCCAGCCTCCATCGGTTCCGGTCAGTTGCCTGGTGTAGTGCAGCGCTAAGTGGTCCGCTGGTTTGCTCGGAGATCAGGTCGGACCTACGTTTGGAGCTCCGGCCTCTACCGGTCCGGTTGAGAAATAAATATATGCTAAATGTGGTACCACTGTTTTTTTTTTATTTAACTCATAATAACATTCAATTGTAGTACTCAAATTCATGTCTCAAGCACATCCGAATTTTCATTAATTATTAAATCAGCTTGATTCAGCATTTAAAGTTAAAACTGAATTTAGGTTTATATTCAACAAGCGGCCCGCTCCGGCTCCGCTCGGGTCTTTAACAAAAATTTCAACGATATTTGACGTTGTTTCATTTTTTTAAATAAAAGAACACTTATTGCGACATAATTATAATAGTGAGACATATGTTGTCGCGACACTTTTTGTAAATAATAATGTGTTCTACAAAGTCGTAGTACATTATTTTATTCTATCATCAATAGTTTTCGCAGGGCACGCGATGTAAATAATATTTTAGGTAATTTCTTAACACCTTGGGTTACATTATTGGAGTTTTAGTAAGGATCCCTAATTTTTTTCAAAAAAGATTATGTAAGATAGCCTATGTCACGCAGGAATAGTGTAGCTTCCAAACAGTGAAATAATTTTTCAAATCGGTTCAGTAGTTTCGGAGCCTATTCAATACAAACAA